TGTTATAACCATAATTTTGTGTCTAGAACCCTCTAATAAGTACCTCCATTCCTTAAAAGCTAACAAAATAGCTAATAGTTCCCTGTTCCCAACATCGTAATTCTTTTCTGGATCAGACAACCTTTTAGAAAAATAACAACAGGGATGGAGGGGTTTGTCATACGACAACCTCTGTGACTGTACTGCTCCCACACCCGACTCTGAAGCGTCTACTTCCATAACAAATGGAAGAGAAGGATCAGGGTGATGCAGCACTGGAGCAGAGACAAATGCCTTCTTGAGAGTTTCGAAGGCCTTAAGGGCTTCAGGAATCCAAACCCTAGGGTGTAGACCTTTTTTTGTCAGCTTCGTTATAGGAGAGATAAGTGGTGAAAAGTTTTTTATAAATTTCCTATAATAGTTGGCAAATCCTATAAAACACTGGATAGCCTTCAGTCCTTGGGGAAGTGGCCAGGACAGTATGGCTTCCAATTTAGCAGGATCCATACTGAAACCCTGTTCAGTAATGATATATCCTAGAAATTGCACAGAGGTCTGATCGAATAAACATTTTTCTAACTTACAGTAGAGTCCTTCTGTAATAGCCTTTTGAGCACCATCCTAACATGGTTATGGTGTGACTTCAAATCAGGAGAATATACAAGTATGTCGTCAAGGTACACCACGGCACAGACATGCAATAGAGCCCTAAGGACATCATTTATGAGGTCCTGAAACACGGCAGGAGCATTACACAGTCCAAAAGGCATGACCAGATATTCGTAATGCCCACTGCGTGTGTTGAACGCTGTCTTCCACTCGTCATTCTCCTTTATACGGACAAGGTTATAAGCCCCCCTGAGGTCTAATTTGGTGAAGAATTTAGAACCTTTAACACGATCAAACAACTCAGTGATGAGGGGGATAGGGTAGGCTTTTTTAATCGTTAAGATTGTTCAGACCCCTGTAGTCTATACATGGCCTCAAATCGCCCTCCTTCTTTGCCACAAAGAAGAAACCAGCACCAGCAGGAGAGGAGGACCTTCTAATAAAACCTTTACTTAGGGATTCCCGTATGTAATCATGATCCATGATCTGGTTTTCTTTCTCAGAAAGAGGGTAGACCTTTCCCCTAGGAGGCATAGTACCCGGTAACAGGTTTATTGCACAGTCATACTCATGATGTGGAGGTAGCTTATCTGCCTCCCTTTTTTCAAAAACCAAGGCAAGGTCTGCATATACAGAAGGGACAGAAACCGAGAGTGGTTTGGCCGTGGGCATGTTGAGTAAACAAACAGGACGTACATGAGCCATACAGTCTCGTTGACAAGATTCCCCCCAGGAGAGTATATCTAAACAACCCCAATCAAGTACAGGGTTGTGTTTAACTAACCAGGGAAAACCCAGAATGATGGAGGCTTTAGGGGAGTCAATTATTTGGAAGGTTAACTTTTCCTTGTGCAAAACACCCACAGACATAACTATTTCCTGTGTTTCATGGGTCACCAGAGGTTTCTCCAGTGGTCTACCATCTATTGCCTCAACGGCCAAGGGTGTGTCCTTTCGGATCAAAGTCAGGGCTGCGGTTTTGGCAAAGTTCTCATCCATAAGGTTGTCTGCCGCACCTGAATCGATCAAAGCTTTGGTTGTTATAGTGGTTTTATTGACCAAAAGAGAAACCGTAATAAACGGTCTGGAGATGGACACATGAGGGGACAAAGTCATAACACCCGAGGCCGACCCCTCTCTAGGACTTAGGTGCTGCAGTTTCCCTGTACTTTAGGGCAGGCATTACAGTGGTGCCCCCTCCTCCCACAATAAAGGCATAACCCCTCCCTTCTACGGTACACTCTTTCGGCCTCAGTTAACCCCGTAGCACCCAACTGCATGGGTTCAGGGGATGGTTGTCTAGGAGCGGGTAACGCTAGTAGTGCAGCACTGGGTAGAGCAGGTAACACCCGTGTATCTTTGACTACGCCTCTCTCTAATACGGTTATCGATAAGAATCACATAGTCTATAACATCATCTAGAAGAACAGGCAATTCCCTGGATGCTATTTTATCCAGTATATAAGCGGCCAAACCCTCCTGAAAGGCTGTTACGAGGACGTCATTATTCCAAACCACTTCAGCTGCTAGATCTGTTACCTTGTCGGACCCTAAGCAGAGCCTTGCCAGCAGAAGCAACCCTACCGGGTTGATCAAACGTGCGTTTGAAAGCTGTCAGAAAATCTGCAAAGGACATAGGAGACGTATTTTCCCACATGGGGTTGGCCCATGCTAAAGCTCTCCCGGACAAGTGGTTTATCAAAAAGGCAATTTTAGATCTGTCAGTGGGATAGGAACGTGGATTCATCACCAAATGGATGTCGATTTGGTTGAGGAAACCACGACACAATGCTGGGTCACCGCTGTAGCGCTGTGGCGGCGTCATGTGAACTACATGAGCAGGAACGGGTACTGGAGTGGGAATGGGTTCGGGCACAGCAGCAGCAGCCTCCTGAACAGCAGGTTGCAAGTGTGCAGTACGAGCCAGTATGGTTTGCAAAGCTTGAGCAAACTGATCCATACGGTGGTCCAAGCCATCCATTCTAGCCTCTTGATTAACTAGGAGCTGTGGTATGTCAGCAGGTTCCATTATGGCCCTGTTGTAATATCACAATTCCGGGAACCCAACACGCTAACACACACACACACACAGAAAAGGTGCAGTATCGGACCTTAGAGTGGCCGGGCTAAGCACACACAGAATAGTCAGGAGACAAGCCGAGTAAGGGGAACCAAAGGACAGAATAACGTGAAACAAGCCGAGGTCAAAGGGTAGGAGAAAGTCACAGAGTCAGATAAACAAGCCAGAGAGTACGTAACCAGAAACACAAGTTCAGTAGTAATACTAGCAAGTAAAGACCACAACAGGGCAGGGAGGAACAGGAAAGGTAAGTATTTAAACCATAAGGTTAATTCTGATTGGATAATTTTCAATCAGAATTAACAATCACACGTGGGAGATATCTAAACCTCCCACTGTGATTGAGGCACTGTGCCTTTAACGCCGGGTCAGGTGACTGACCCCGGCGTGTAATATATTGGGCGGTCTCCCAGCGTGCAGCGTCATGCATGCTGCCGCTGGGGGCCGAGGAGGAAAACGCGGGCGGCATCCGAGGCTGGAAGGGTGCCGCTCGCCAAGCCCACGGGGCGGAGGAGACCGCAGACGGCTGGAGGGTGAGTACCGCGAGCGGGGTGCAGCCTCCCCTCGCAGCCGCCCGCGGGATCCCGACATTTTGTATGTTTATTTATCTGTGTGTTTGTTAGTGTGCGCATTTGTATGTCTGTATCTGTGTGGGTCAGTGTGTGTATGTATATGTCTGTAGGTGTGTGAGTGTATCTATGTGTGCATCTGTATGTCTGTATCTGTGGTGTGTGTCAGTGTTTGTATCTGTATGTCTGAATCTGTGGTGTGTGTCAGTGTTTGTATCTGTATGTCTGTGCATGTGTGTGTCACTGTGTGTAACTGTAAGTCTGCATGTCAGTGTGTATCTCTATGTTTGTGTATCTAGCTTCTCCTATTTATTACAATGAGAAACCAGGGACAGGGAGGAATATCTCAGCCTTGTCAGAGTTGACAAAATACTTACACTAGTATTAGCTTGAGATTTTCAGTAATCAACATTTATTGAAAATAAAAAGTTAAATCAATATATCAATAGTTATCAATATAAACATTTTAAAAGGTGTGTTTAATTTACTGATTTCTGATTAATAGGTTTGATAATATTTATATGCATTTAAGTGATAGAGAGCATGTTAAAATAATAATTTGCTCAAATTAAAATCTAAATAAAAAACATGTATTGCTCTATATTGTCTTTTATCTGTTAACAGACTGTCAAATACCAGAATAATTAGGTGAAATATTGTTTATTTCCTGTTTTTCTTCTCGCGGTGCAGGGTCTCCACCTCTTTCATGAAGCGCAGGCATAGTTCATCCTGATACGGCAGAGCCGCACATTGCACAGACAGAGGAAGCCCCACTCCTCCCGCCACGGCCTGCAGACACAGCGAGAGAGATGTAACATTGGGGTACAGGCAGCAAATGCAACATAGTAACAGTAATGTAACAGTTTCTACTGGGAAGGATTTTACTTTGCACATTTGGAAAATAACTGTTATTTATTTAAGATAGTATCCACAGGTAAACATTACTAAAGGAACACTCCATTCACTTTAACTAAATTAAGTTGTTATGGTTGCAGGAGGCCCGCAGACGCTCTCTTAACTTAAAGGGACACTCCAGGCACCCAGACCACTTCTGCCCATTGGAATGGTCTGGGTGCCAACTCCCATCACCCTTAACCCCTTAAGGACCAAACTTCTGGAATAAAAGGGAATCATGACATGTCACACATGCTATGCATGAGGACCTCCTGCGTCGCCGGAATCCCCATAGGAAAGCATTGAATAATGCTTTTTCTATGGGGAGGTCTAATGCGCGTGTGTGGCCGTTGCAACGCATGTGCATTAGGTTCGCGGGGGAGGAGGGGCGTGAGCAGAGCCTGACCCAGCTCTGAGGGACATAGACGCTGGATTCAGGTAAGTCACTGAAGGGGTTTTAACCCCTTCAGCAACATGGGATGGGGCACTGCAGGACCCTTTAAGAGTTTAACCATTCTGAAATGGTTTAACCCCAAAGGTTGACTCCAGCACTGATCTCAAGGTCACCCAAGCGGAATCCAGCTTCTGAAACAGAGTTACAGGAAGCGTGGACAAAGTGCCGCCGGGCAGGAGTGCTGTTGGTTGGCTAGAGTGGTCAGCTGACGCTCTAAGCCAGTCAGTAGCTTCCCATTTACAAAAAAGGTACATAGCTTTTATTATGAATGGGGAACTAATGATTATTCTGTTTTCAAAGTATTTAAAATTTCTTAAGTGTTGCAATCTTTACAGGATTATCCTACATAGTAACACACTGGATTGTAGTTGTTTAAAGGACCACTATAGGCACCCAGACCACTTCAGCTTAATGAAGTGGTCTGGGTGCCAGGTCCAGCTAGGGTTAACCCTTTTTTTCCTGGCACTATAGTGGTCCTTTAAGGCATTACATTGAGGGTTGCGATTTGTATCAGTATGTTTCAGCACGGTATGTTATAAATTCTTTGGAGCAGCTTATGTGTTTATTTGTTGATCTATTAAAATGTATATATTGTACGGATCGTACTGATTTTATTTATATATTTTTTTAAATTTAATCCCCCAGCCTCCTTACCTTTGGGAGTGCTGAGGGGATTCCCTGGGGTCCAGTGGTGCTGCTGGGTGGCCGGTCCTGCAGGCAGCGAGGGAGCATTCTCCCCTGAGCACTCTCTGCCCAGCTCCCTCGCGCACTGCAGGAGCCGGAATGATGTCATATCGGGCTCTGGCATCAGTGCGCGCAAGGAAGCTGGGCAGAGAACGTTCAGGGGAGAATGCTCCCTTGCGCACCCGCCCTCAAAATGATGCCACTTGCAGCCTCGGGGGGCCCTGAGGTGACCAGCTCCTGGGCCCCCAGGAGAAGAGGCTGGCAAAATGTGGCCACACTAGCATACATACCGGGTCGCAGGGTGGCCAGGCCCCCTGGAGGCCCGGTCGCAGCCGTGACCCCTGCGTCTGCGGTATGTATGCCAGTGAGTCCTGCAAATTTTGAGGTGGGGGCCCCATGTATCAGATTTGCAGTTCTAGCACATCTCACAGATGCTCAATGGGATTGAGGTCTGGGGAATTTGGAGGCCAATGCAACACCTTCAACTCTTTGTCGTGTTCTTCAAACCATACCTGAACAATTTTTGTAGTGTAACAAGGTACCTTATCCTGCTGAAAGAGGCCACTGCCATCAGGGTACATTATTGTCATGAAGGGGTATACATGGTCTGCAACAATCTCTAGGTGGGTGGCACATGTCCAAGTAACATTCACATGAATGCCAGGACCCAAGGTTTTCTTTGCAGAACATTGCCCAGAGCATAATATGGTCTACGGCGGCCTACCTTCTTCCCATAGTGCATCTTGCTGCCATCTCCTCACCAGGTAAATGATGCACACATAGCCATCCATCCAATCAAAAAGAAATGTGATTCATCAGACCAGGCAACCTTCATCCATTGCTCCATGGTGCAGTTCTGACGCCCCATTGAAGGTGCTGTTGGTGGTTCACAGGGGTCATCATGGGCACTCTGACCAGTCTGCAGCTTCACAAGCCCATACACAGCAAACTGTGATGCACTATATGTTCTGACACCTTTCCACCATAGTAGCTCTTTTGTGTGATTAAACCAGACTAACTAACCTTCGCTTCCACGTGCATTAATGAGCCTTGGATTTCCATGACCCTGACGCAAGTTCACTTTCTTCTTGCACCCTAGCACACCAGGAACACCCAAAGACTTTCTGTTTTGGAGATGCTCTGACAAAGCCATCACTATTTGGCCCTTATCAAAGTCACTGAGATATTTTAGTTTGCCCATTTTTTCTGCCTCTGACATATGAAATTTAGGAACCGACTGTTCACTTGCTCCCTCATATATCCCACCCCTTGACAGGTGCCATTGTAATGATATAATCAATGATATTCACTTCACCTGTCAGTTGTTTTATTGTTGTGGATGATCAGTGTAAGCACCACACACAAATCACAAGTAGCCCCTTCCACACAACGATAGCAGCAACTACACACATACATATGCTCCCAGACACAGACATACACTTGCACACTGACAGAGAGACACAAATTCACAGACAAAGATCCTCCAGCACACACACCCTGCTCCACACACACAATACTTGACCACTACACACCATTCACAGAAACTCTAGGAGAGCGTCCCAATATGATACCCCATCTAGGGTCCTGGGCAACATTCATCCAGCTCTGTTGCTGGCTTCCTCCATGGTACATTTGTGAAGATTTCAATGAATTCACAGCAAGCCATACAGTAAAACTACCTGCTGGAATAGTTTATCCCAAGGATCGTTGTAGTAGCCTTTGTAATGCTTCATTTCATCCTCATCTGATTGAGTGACAGAGCTCACAGTTACGACACCGGCTGGGAACTGTACCACATTGAACAAAATTGTATATGACGCAGCAGCTGAAAGATTAAGAACTCATTGTGGAACCTAATTTTAAATATCTTTTTTTTTAAAACAAAAAACTTGTAACCTGGAGATAGAATGACTAATCAGAATGGAAAAGGATTAAATTTTTGAGACAAACACAGCATTTTAGTGTTAAGGCCTTACAGGGTAAAATGTTGCAACTTTTGGGTTTATTTGTCCAAATAAAGTATTTTTCAACTAGATTATCTGCATTTGTCTATTACTTGAAGCTATATACAATATGATTGGCAGCCGGTTTAAATGACAGTAACGTTATAACCGTACCTAACAGTCTTCCAGCATAGCCGTTATTGTAGGCTGGTCCTAACATAGGACAGAGAATGACATCTAGGTCCAGCTTCCTCCACTCCGCAATGAATTCAGCTTGGTATTCCTGAAATGGTAGATACATATTAGAAGGATACAATAGTAAAAGTATCAATCTAAGTGCTACAATCAATGGATATAACCAGCCTGCATGTTATGTGTAATCTGTTCTTTGTACTGAGACCATTTATTAGATCCATTTTCAGAAACTTTCACCAACAGAGGAATTATTCAGAGGAGTGTTCACCTGCTGGTGCTTAGTCCTTTTACCCCTTCAAACAGCAGAGAAAACCTTGCGATGTTTCACCTGTAGGTGTATCACATAACCCTCTGGCGTTTAGGATTAAGGTTCCGTCATACAAAAAAGGCCACAGATCTCCCAAATTATGGCATTGATTTAACATTTTTTGATAAGCTTTTCAAATTATTTATCTGCAGAGGTCACCAATAAATTATCTGGGTATTTTTATGGAAGGTTTATCCAAAAATACTAATTTGAGGCCTATGCCAAAATATTCCAAATTGAACTTTAAAAAGTTCCATAACCGGAGGGCAGTACCCAGGATCAGTAATGCTGTGACTGACACTATTAATGGGGAGCAGTAAAGCATGATGGGATAGAGGTCCAGTACCTGCAGCAATGCTTGATCGGTCCACAGTTCCTTCACAGAGCTAAACAATGTGTCAGAAAGGAAGCTGGTTAATAACAGTAATAAATACAGTAAAAAAAAATGCAACAGATCACAAACTCAGTCAGCTACAAAGCTTCACATTGTTACCTTGCACCTATAGCGCTAATTACAGAACTGGCAATCCTTGGAAACTACAGGAAACAAAGACACAAAGAGTGTAACATTATCACAGTGCTTTATTAAATAAATTACTAATTAGATATTAAATAATATAAATCTACCCGCCCTCTGTATTACATCCTCAAGCACCGCCATATTCTCTTTCCAACCCCTATATTCCTCATCAGCGTTGACCTACCCTTCACTGTTACAGTCTGTTGTCGATGGAAACTTTAAAAGTCTTTTTGTGAATGTACATAGAGATGTGATAGGCCATGTGATACCATCACAGATTGACAGTTGATGTTTTGGAGGCCCCAAGACTTCACTTGTTGGACCAAACAACATATCTATATCTATATGAGCCTATTCTATCTTATGGTATTCATTCTCACACCAAACTTGGAAACTAAGAGTGATAGAATCAGATGGATCACCAGACTGTACAAATCAGAGAAAGATTAAAAGAAGAAAAAAGCTTAGATGTTTCTTAAGTAGAAAACAAAATTCTAAAAGAGAACATGAGAATGATTTTGGATGAGCTGACTTCTAGGCACAATTTGTACAAGGCTACAGTGGCAAAAGACGAGAGTTACTATGGCAGCTATGATTTTACAAAGATGACTGGCAGGTAGTGTGATTTTTGTTCCCGTATTAGTGCCATCACTCCTGGGTGTTACTGTATATCATAGTTGCCATACTCAGGGTTCCATGGTCCTTCTCATTTTGCTTACCAAGGGCTTAAGGACAAAGTACAAAGCTTTCTTCACCACTGTCGGAGTGCGAATCATCGAGATCAGACCACTAAGATTTGGGTCAACCGAATTATGGTTACTGAGAGAAGAAGACATGAAGTCATAGAATGAAAATAAACACAAAACAAATGAAAAAAACCTTGTTTGTGCAATATTAGAATGTTATCATCACTTTTGAATGTAACTTTAAGAATTATACATGATGTTCTTGTTAATAACAACTTCTTACTTTTAATGCAAATAAATGCATTTTATTTAATTTCCTTTACATAATTCATTTCTTTAATGTGATGGATTTGTGAAATTACATAGGTTATATGTAATTTGAATTGTGTAACTTCAAAAATTTTTGTGTATAATATGGTTGCTTCCACTTTAAGGGGCTGTACACCTATTTAACAGAATATTAGAGTGCCATGCAGTGTCTGTATTGTGTCATGATGTCCTTATTTTATGGACAAGAATTATCAATTTTTATTGAGAATAATGAAATAATCTGTTTAAAGGGTCCCTCAACTGAGTGGGGGAGGAGGGAGCAGAGGGAATTACAGTGAAAGGAATACAACTTTATATTCCTTACACTATAGAATCCTTTTAATAAGAGTGGAATTGGGGATGCACACCCAGAACATGCATTTTGTTAGAACTGGTGCTGCTGTAAAGACCGAAATAAACACAAAATACAGAATAAGAAACAGCACACACAAAAAAAAATACAGTTTTAAACTTTACAAAGCTACTTAAAATCACCTATCATTGAAAACAAATACAGAGATTCAGTTACACCATATGGTCGTACTGTATTAAGCACACCACTATGTCACAGTACAATATCGGTGGGTCCTACACAGACTGTTACTTCTTCCCAGCCGACCAACACTACAGGGGCCCGGTCATGCACTTAAAAGGGCCACAGTGCTCATCCAGGCCCCTGATCAGCGATAAAGATATAATATCCATCCGGTGGCCCCAACTGCACGGACAACCCGAAGGGCCCCCAAAGTGTGCCGGCAGTGGTTCTGCCAATGGTACTTAGTCCAATAGGAATCTGATCCAGATTCTAAATATACAAAGAAAAACATGAAATTGGAGGGCACACGTGCAACATGCATTTCTTAATAGTGGTGCTGCTGTGAAGACCAAAATGTAGATTAAAGAACAGCGCACAAATTAAAAATTTAAAACTAAAAATACAGTTTTAAATTTCACAAGGCTACTTAAAATCTCATCAGTAACAAACCTAAAGCACATCAATAAGTATTGCACATAAAAATATTTTATTATATGATGATAAAATGAATACATCAAAGTGCAAAGTGCAAACATGCAGATAAAACATGCAAAGAGTATGTACTGCATATATAACCACACAAAACAAACTGTAAAGTGCTCTTAGTTTAAACCTACTAGCAAGTGTACAATCGAATATACTGACACAGAGCTGGAGACCACAAAGCCGCGACGTTTCGGCTTGAAGCCTTCCTCAAGGGGGCAAAAAAAATCATAGCAAACAAAACTTGTGCGACTGAATATGGTGTTGGTTTGCTAAGATCAGTGATTTTAAGTGCATTGTAAAGTCTAAAACTGTATTTTGTTTTGTGTATGCACTGTTCCTTAATCTTAATATCTATTGAAATCTGCACTTTGTGAACACATAAAGCACTTAAAGGGGACACCCCTAAACATTAAAGCAAGAGACCTGCAGCTTTTGCACAATGTTTTTAGATGTATCCCAATGAAAAAAATAATTCACAGTTAAACATTGAACAAGTTTTCATGTTTATTATCCAATAAACAATTTGTTTTATTTGAGTGGTCCCTTCAGGCAAGCTAAAGTGCTTTACGGGTCTGGAGTGTCCCTTTAAATGTATTATGGAGACTGTATTTGTCTTGCTGTATTCATATTTTCTTTACCCTATTTCTAAAACTAAAACTTTTTCTAAAATTGCATCAACTATCCCAAAAATATTTTACATAGAATTCTGTCCTCGATGCAGTTTAATTGATTGATCGCCTTGAATTCACGGGAAGCTGTCTTTGTTTTGCAGACAACCCAAAATTTAATAAGAACATTAAATTAAATTTATTTAAGGATCATACAATTAAGTGGTATCGCTCGTGGCTCCTAAATTATAACTGGATTCTTTAACTTACAATTTTTCCAGTAGAATTTCTCCTCCGTCACCAAGTAAGATTTTCATGAACAGAGCATTTTTCACGTAATCTATTCTCGGAGGGGCAAACTGGATCAGCTAAAAAAGCAAATCACACATTTTACATTTTTGTTTTAATCTTTCATTCACTAAATACTGAACTGTGGCAAAGTGGATAGGCAAACTTAGGTCAACGAATGCAAACTGAGAAAAAAACAAACCATGCTCCAATCACAAGCAGATCCTGGTGCTACAATGGACCAAGGGCCAGAACCAGCCCCAGGAAGTAGATACCAGTAGTAGAAAGAGGATCCAGGCACGCCAAGTATCTTCAAATGTGCAACATCACAACATTTCAATCCCTGAAAGGGTCTTTGTCAAGCTACAGTTGGACGTGGTTTGAGATCCTGACCACTTACAATCGTACATAAGATTGCTAATTTTTAAATTTGTACATGGCGAATTAAGTCAGTACATCTAGGGAACAAAACTTGTTTCGGGCGATTCAAAAATAATCCTTATCAGTTCGGGCTAACTCCGTCCATGCAATCGTTTTGAGAAAAAATATTTGAGAAAACCAAAAAGCCAAGAAAATTGGCCACTCTACTGCAAAATATAAATATTGTGTAATAAGTGCATTTAAATAAAATCAACATTTAGTGGCTGTTCCCTAACCATCACTCATTTTTTATTCCATCAATCATTTTTGAATTTATTTTTTTGGTGCAAAGGACAGGACTCACAAAACAAACTAAATGGTTTCAGGCATTGTCTACTTTGCTTGTTTTGTGATTTGTCCATTTAGTGCATTAGATTTTGGACAAAATGTAGGAAAATTCATTTGAAACTGAATGCGCATATCTGTACATTTTTAATATCACACAGCTTAATGTATTGGTTCTGGTGTCTAGAGCACAAAGATGTCGGGAGTCGTCACTGAACACAAATATGAGTGTTTAAAACAGTAAAACTTATCACGACGATGATATTGTTAGTGAAAGTGAAGTTTTTTGCATTTTTCACAAACAAACGTCACTTTCACTGATGATATCATTGTTGTGATATGTTTTACTGTATTGAAACTAATATTTATGTTCACCGAAGTCTCCCGAGTATAACAGTAACCCCCATGTACAAGTTTTATAGTGTTTTTGAACGTTACAGGGTCAAATATAAGACTTGATTTTCCATTTTTTCACATTGAAATTTGCCAGATTGGTTATGTTGCCTTTGAGAACATATAGCCCTGAAATGAGAATTACCCCAATGATGGCATACCATTTGCAAAAGAAGACAACCCAAGGTATTGTAAATTGGGTATGTTCTGTCTTTTTTAGTAGCCACTTAGTCACAAACACTGGCCAAAATTAGTTCATAATTGTTTTTTGCATTTTTAACACAAAAACAAATATAAATGTTAACTTTGGCCAGTGTATGTGGCTACTAGAAAAAGACTGGATATACCCCATTTTAAATACCCTGGGTTGCCTACTTCAAAAAAATATGTACATGTTAGGTGTGATTCAGAGATTTATGACAGATAACAGTGTTACAATGTCACTATTGATAAATTTTAAATATATATATTTTGAAACAGCAATGTCCTGCTTGTACTTATAGCCCTATAACTTGCAAAAAAAAAAGCTAAGAACATGTTAACATTGGATATTTCTCACCTCGGGACAAAATTTAGAAACTATTTAGCACAGGTGTTAGAGTTAGAAAAAGTGTGTTTTTTAAATTCTTTCATCATATTTTATTATTTTTTTATAGTAAATTATATTATATGATGAAAATAATGGTATCTTTAGAAAGACCATTTACTGGCAAGAAAAAAGGTATATAATATGTGTGGTTACAGTAAATGAGTAAGAGGAAAATTACAGCTAAACACAAACACAGCAGAAATGTAAAAACGGCCCTGGTCCTTTGTAACTAAAATTATAGATCAGGGTGGTGCAGTAGACATTGCTTACCTAGATTTCAGTAAGGCTTTTGACACTGTTGCACATAGAAGGCTTATCAATAAACTGCAATCTTTAAGTTTGGATTCAAATATTGTTGAATGGGTAAGGCAGTGGCTGAGTGACAGGCAACAGAGGGTTGTAGTTAATGGAATATATTCGAAGCTTGGACTTGTCACCAGTGGGGTACCTCAGGGATCTGTACTTGGACCCATTCTCTTTAATATTTTTATTAGTGATATTGCAGAAGGTCTTGATGGTAAGGTATGTCTTTTTGCTGATGATACTAAGATATGTAACAGGGTTGATGTTCCAGGAGGGATAAGCCAAATGACAAATGATTTAGGTAAACTAGAAAAATGGTCAGAATTGTGGCAACTGACATTTAATGTGGATAAGTGCAAGATAATGCATCTTGGACGTAAAACCCAAGGGCAGAGTACAGAATATTTGATAGAGTCCTAACCTCAACATATGAGGAAAGGGATTTAGGGGTGATTATTTCTGATGACTTAAAGGTAGGCAGACAATGTAATAGAGCAGCAGGAAATGCTAGCAGAATGCTTGGTTGTATAGGGAGAGGTATTAGCAGTAGAAAGAGGGAAGTGCTCATGCCATTGTACAGAACACTGGTGAGACCTCACTTGGAGTATTGTACACAGTATTGGAGACCGTATCTTCAGAAGGATATTGATACCTTAGAGAGGGTTCAGAGAAGGGCTACTAAACTGGTTCATGGATTGCGGGATAAAACTTACCAGGAAAGGTTAAAGGATCTTAGCATGTATAGCTTGGAGGAAAGACGAGACAGGGGGGATATGATAGAAACATTTAAATATATAAGGGAATCAACACAGTAAAGGAGGAGACTATATTTAAAAGAAGAAAAACTACCACAACAAGAGGACATAGTCTTAAATTAGAGGGACAAAGGTTTAAAAATAATATCAGGAAGTATTATTTTACTGAGAGGGCAGTGGATGCATGGAATAACCTTCCAGCTGAAGTGGTAGAGGTTAACACAGTAAAGGAGTTTAAGCATGCATGGGATAGGCATAAGGCTATCCTAACCATAAGATAAGGCTAGGGACTAATGAAAGTTTTTAGAAAATTGGGCAGACTAGATGGGCCGAATGGTTCTTATCTGCCGTCACATTCTATGTTTCTATGTTTCTATGTTTCTATGTTTCTATGTTTCTTAACGGTAAGAAAATTGAAAAACGGTCCGGTCACTAAGGGATTAATCTCTGGAGGGCCAGAGACCTAATGCTGCATTCCAGGACTATTTTGTTCCTTTAACTTCTTCCAGTGTTTCAAAGTATTTGCAGTATATTTGACTGTAACTCAGACCCTGCCAATAATTACCGTATGCCCAGCTTCCTCCAGGAGTTTTTTGGTTTCTAACACTGCCCGTCTCATGCCAGGGTGCGGTAATGTAAATCCGTCAGTTTCATAATATCCCACACGGAGAGGAGTGGGCGATGTATAGACCTATAGAGAAGAATCCAGAAATGAGCTTTCTTACATCATCTGTACACTAAACCCATGACTTGAACATTCTAACTCAGAGTGAAAAAAGGTTCCACCAACCCACAGGAATCTCTGTTAAACCCACAGTCAATACTTCTGGCTGGAGGTGCACATTTTAAGTAATTATGGAGGTAAAATATATATAAAATCAAAATATAAAAAAGTACTCAGCTTGTTTTAAATCTGCAGCTTCTATATGGATCAGAAAGATGCTGAGATCTCACAGCCCATTCTGTCATTCCACTGATTTTAAATGTTAGCATTGTACATATCCCACAATATCAAAGACAAATAGTGCTTACGGGATCTGAAGTTCATCAGTTGTTTGTTTCCTAAGTAGTGTCATTCTAATTTTTTTCGTGAACGAAGACACTTACTGCTCAGCCTGTGCATGGCAGCTTCAAAAGTTCTGTCATTGAAAAATATGAAGAGAACCTGTACAATTGATTTCGACTCACACATGTTTATACGCTGGGCATGGCCTTGACCAGTCAGGAGATAGTTAAATTTTGCAGGGATAATTGCAGGACAAAATATTAACAGCTTTCTCATGCCATGTCATATTTTAGGTGGGTGTAGACTAGCATCAATACATTTTGCAAACTGCTGCAACCATAATGAATGGGATGACAAATAAAGGGGTCAGGAGTTCCTTGGAGCACAGACTATGTAAAGAGAATAAGTGATTGTGGTGTTTGGAGTGTCCCTTTAATAGAAACATGACTTGGGAAGATGGGCCAGGCAAAGGAAGACCTTTCCACGTGCAGGACAATTATTTACAGTCAACCCAGCAACTGAGAACAGTCTCATCAATGGCTAGGGTTATGCAGATCTACCAGCTCCGTGCACACACAAAATGTGGTAACAGCACACTCTTTATATATACATACTCAAAGAATGTGCCCGACCCCTGGTGGTAAAGAGTGGTAGTGCAAATGGTTGTACCGAGCTGCTTCCAAAATTGCAGATAAATAAAATACACAGGAATCCACACAAATGGCCTTATTCCACTAAACACCAAATGTTTGCCAACCTGTGAAGATAGCTAAATTGGAATTTGCAAATCAGTTTTTTTTAGACTGAATTAATACAGTACGGATTGATTTCAATCTATAGAATGTAAGCTCGATTGAGCAGGGTCCTCTTCAACCTATTGTTCCTGTAAGTTTATTTGTAATTGTCCTATTTATAGTTAAATCCCCCCTCTCATAATATTGTAATGCGCTACGGAATCTGTTGGCGCTATATAAATGGCAATAATAATAATAATAATAATAACCAACATAGTGGTGTTTAGTGAATAAACGCCAAAGTGCGTCTTATCCAATTCTATCAACATTAACATCAATGAGCAAGATCAATACCACTGGTAAGGTGTATCATTAGATCAATGTTTACAAAGGTTCTAAACTTATTATGCTGAACACTAGGCTCCTTGGTGCCATCTGCTATTGGTATCGACCATGGCCTTAATTCAGTGAGACATGCTATCCCACTTAATCCTCACAGTAACCCTGCCTTCTGCATACTTGACGGCATTTTGGGAATGGCAGCTATCCCGAGTCAGCATATATCACCTTATCATTGAAAGGAAGAGGTGGGACTGTTGGGTCCAGCTTGAACATTTCATCACAAAGAAGAGTCTTCATGCACAGAACCAGGCTGTCCACGTCTCTGGCCATGGGTCCCGTGGCTACAGGTACTGAAACAATAAACTGTCCACTTACACAAAGCTGGGTCCAAGGGGTGTAAACGTGTTTTGTTTTACAAGTAACGGGGGGTAGGGGGGGATGAGGGGGTAAGGTGCCAAGTAAAATACCTACACTACATCCACATTAACCAAGAAAATTAGAACACAATCATAAATAAAGGGATTAGATCAGCAGGACCTGAATTATTCAATGCAATTAGAATCTCTGGAACTGTTTGAAAAATATTCACGCACAGGAAGAAAATATTTATTGAACACATACAAAAATAATATAACATTATGTTATTGTTACATAACAACCTAAGATTAATCTAGCTCCCCAAAAATAAAAATTTAAAGATAAATGTTGTGGCAAAACCGACCTCGCCACGTGTCCTTGGAGGGGGCTGCTTGCCCGCCTCTTGCCTTTGGACTATGGCCCTGCAGGTTAAACTGTTTATTTTCCCTGCAGAAAGGCTTATTCGTGTGATCTGAGTGCCATTCATCTAATAATGTGCAGTCAGATCCAAGCTATCTGGGGATATGTAGAAATGTGTGTTTTATGTACTAAATGTGTCAGTATGTAATTTTATGCGAATGTGATGTATATTTTGGGAGTTATGAATGTTGTGTAAAAACTGTATTTTCCCTACCTATGATAATTGTATTTCCCTGTGTGTACAGATAATTAGTTTACAGGTAGAGGGGAGGGCTATGTGTGGGATGTAACTATTGTGTGATTGGTTAATGTACGTTACTGTGTGTGTCCCTCCCCTTCATGGGAGCACCTAATAAAAAGGGCTGCAAGCTAGCAGCCAGAGAGTTCTATTTTTACCCTCAACTTGAGTCCTGTCTCTTATTGGGGGAATCTGCTACAAGGGATTGCTATGCTAGGCATATTCCCTTGCTATAATCACTGAGCTCTTGTAAGAGCTTGTTCCTGCTTCGTTCTGAAGGGAGATAGCTGCAGCCTGCGGTGCTTATGGTGTCTGGTGGAGTGATTGGAGTCCTCTGGAAGCGCTAGGAGCATCTTTCAACGGAGGTACCCAGTCGGGGTGCCAGGCGATCCGTTACAAATGTGTTCTAATCAAGGAATCTCTTGCAGATCTCAAGTGTTTGTGAGTTATAGGGTTAAGGTTTCTCAATCTATATTTAGCTATACATTTTTTTTAACTTTAACTATAGTCATCGTAAAAATAGCTGAGCTGATACCAGGCAGCACGCCATGTTTATATATACAGCTCTCAGTGTCTGTGCGATTAGATAAAAAGAACAGCAACTCTGCCACTTACAACAACACAAACTAATGCAGTTATAATATTATATACGGCATAAAGGCTTTCTGGGAAATATAGTCCAGTAAACTCTGCAGTTCCTGCCATGATTAACCATTACTACATTGAACTATTCCAGTGTCAGTCATATTGCACACCAAGTCTCTAAATTGAGAATGAATGTTCTGGTTAATATTGTCAATAAAGGTCTGATTAAGAGCTTTAACACTGCTGTATCCCGTGGACAAACCCTGTATAACCCACGACTGTCCCAGCGACTAGGACCATTTATTATTATTGTATTTATAAACCTACAAAATATTCTGCAACTTAACACAGATTATTACATTCTAACGCCATCCGTTAATTAAAAAAATACTAATTAACTCACTTGCGGTGAAGCCTTCAATGCAGGAGCGTATCTCACCCAGACTGGAAATATGTAGAAACAAAAATTCTATTAATCAGTGATATTTAGATATTTCCTTTAGTTCGATACCTAGTACCTCTTCACACAGGCTTAATGAGCACATTAAAGGGTCACATTGGAGTTGACCCAAATCTTTAAATTATAATTTCTCTGAAATTTACTCCTTCATTAAAACATTGATAATCTACTTGTGTTAATCTTTTCTTTGTTTTTCCATTTTTTTTTTAAATTGATACCAAAAAAATTAGCAAAATACATCATAATCCAGTTCAGACAAAGCACAGCCAGAGTAAACACTACACACAAAGAGAAGATATAGAAACATTGTTTCTCTGGATGCTCGCTCTGTGCTGATTGGCAGGTGCAAAGGGTGGGGCTTATAACAATGATTGACAGGGAGCTCAGATGGAGACATCCAGTTACAGGATAAAGAGGAGTGGGTGTGTATATAACTATTGGTATAAGTAAATATAATATTACAGGTGATAAGATATGACTGTTCCCATTTAATGCATTATGTTTAACATTGATTTGAAAACTATATAAAGCACACACCAAGTGCTACAGCGGTTCATTTAGCGACTCCCAGGCAAACAAGATGTGTTTGAGCGAATGTGTATGTGACTGTCAGTGATGTGTGTGTGACTGTTAGTGTGCGTCTGTCAGTGAGTTTGTGTCTGTCAGTGTGTCTTTGAATGTTTGTGTGTCAGTGAGTATGTCTGTCAGTGTGTATGTGTGTGTGTGTCTGTCTGCGTGTTTGTCTGTCTGTGTGTGTCTGTCAGTGAATGTGTGTTCGTGTCTGTCAGCAAATGTGTGTGATTGTATGTCAGTGTCTGTCAAACCAGTGAGAGTCTGTGTCTGTCAGTGACATCTGTGTGTTTGGCATTGAGTGTTTGTGTCACTGTCAGTAAGTGTGTCTCTCAGTGAGTGTGTCTGTCAGTCAGTGAATGTGTGTGTGTCTGTCAGTGCGTGTAAGTGTGTCAAATCAGTGAGGATGTGTATCTGTCAGTGAGTGCATGTGTATGTGAGAGTATGTTTCTGTCAGTGAGTGGGTGTGTAAGTGAGTGTCCTGTTAGTGAAAGTGTGTGTTGGTTAAACGGTGTTGTGCCACTGTGCGTATGTATGGGTCAATGAAAGTGTGTGCTTAAAAGGATTAGGTACTGAGAGGTGGCGTTCAAAGAAAAAAGATGGAGCCTAAAAAGGAAGAGGTGCGTTGAACGTTGATTAGTGGGGTGCTCACATTTAGCGATGCCTTGAGCAGCACAAAACAAAAATACGTCACTGCTCCCAGGGTTAGTGTAGAGGATGTACAGTCAGGTCCATAAATATTGGGACATCGACACAATTCTAATCTTTTTGGCACTATACACCACCACAATGGATTTGAAATGAAATTAACAAGATGTACTTTAACTGCAGACTTTCAGCTTTCATTTGAGGGTATTTACATCCAAATCAGGTAAACGGTGTAGGAATTACAACAGTTTGTATATGTGCCTCCCACTTTTCCAGGGACGGGTTCCCCAAGAACAAGCAGGAACTGAAGACAGTTGCAGTAGAGGCCTGGCAGAGCATCACCAGGGATGAAACCCAGCGTCTGGTGATGTCTATGCGTTCCAGACTTCAGGCTGTAATTGACTGCAAAGGATTTGCAACCATGTATTAAAAAGTGAAAGTTTGATTTATGTCTGTTAATCTGTCCCATTACTTTTGGTCACTTAAAAAGTGGGAGGCACATATACAAACTATTGTAATTCCTACACCGTTCACCTGATTTGGGTGTAAATACCCTCAAATTAAAGCTGAACGTCTGCAGTTAAAGCACATCTTGTTTGTTTCATTTCAAACCCATTGTGTTGGTGTATAGAGCCAAAAAGATTAGAATTGTGTCGATGTCCAAATATTTATGGACCTGACTGTATATTTATCTAAAAACGCAGAGGTTCCTACAGTAGGGAAATGAAAAATAGGCAAACAAATCTCACGTAAAGTTAATTATTATTTTTTTACAGTAATGCATTATATATATATATATATATATCTTTGAAAATCCACACACTGCATCCTGCGCACAGGCGCCATACCTGACCCTCTGCGGGGTGGGTTTAAGAGCTGTTATTCCACAGAAACTTGAAGGGATACGGATACTTCCACCAATGTCTGTTCCTAGTCCCAGAATTGAGCCTCCACCGCCAATCAATGCCCCTTCCCCACCAGAGGACCCACCGGGGCTCTTAGCGTGATTGTGCGGATTGACCGTTACGCCATATATCGGGTTGCTGGTATCATAGCTGTCAGAAAAATATAATTTCATGTCACACTAATGCAAACAATGTAAGGCCAGGGATTGAAGCACAGAAACATTAAGTGAAATATATTTTTTAGACTAATAAACATTTGGTAATTATAAATTATTTTACTGCTATAGTAATAAATAATGACAAATGTTCTTAGTGTCTTTACATTGTATTTGTCTTTCTTTTGTTCAGTCATATTTTTTAAGTGACTAAAAAATAAAATCAATATTGTATGTCTCTACTGTAGAATAGAATGTCCTATATCTGTATCGGACAGTGTTCTGTGGAATAGATGAATTTCAAAAAGAAATACCAAATGTTTCTATTCTTATAAAGAGGTACAACCCTAAAACCCTCAAAACTCTATTCTACAGTAGAGACATACAATATTGTTTTTACACATCATTTTCCCTTTTTTTCAAATCTCATGATTTTTATTCACTCGTTTTGGTCTCTTCTGTAGTTCCTAATATCCTCCGGTGCTAGAAAGAGAGTCTGCGGCTATCTCTTATTCACTCACTTAATATCACTGAGGTTGCCGAGCAACCGCTGTAATCACCGCGGGACGTAACGTAATGACGTCTCGATCGTTTGGGAAGGTTCTATGCACTGCACCTGGTAAGCAAATATGTTTTATTTCTTATAAATATGCACTAATTGTTGTACACTTTGTTCTGATCTTGATAAAGACCTGAATAGGTCGAAACGTTGATCTGCTGAACTCTGAATTTATGGACACAGTAAACTGAAGACTTTTCAAATCCAGGAGTGCGCCTTATCATTCGTAATATATATGTTCTCGCTGGTTTTTGCACCCTGGTATGTACCCATAATTTTTAAACGTATTTCTACTTTTATATATATGTATATATAAAAGTTCAAAGTTTAACTATGTCAAAAATATTAAAGAAAAATAGACAGGACATGCTTGCACTTTAAGTGAGAACAGCTCACAATTCTCTTAAATTATTACAGATATTATTTAACCCAGTATACACTGGCATAGTTTGAGTAGATGGAATATTAAGTTAAAGGAGCACTATAGGATCAAGAACACAAACATATATTCCTGTCCCTTAAAAACACCATCAAGTCCCCCTGCCCTCCCTTGCTCCGTTAAATATAGTAAAATTTTACTTTTGTTCCAATCTGCTGCTGCTGGCTCTGGCCCTGATCTGCATGCTTGGCTGACAACATCGAAGTGGTGATCTCAGCCAATCACAATGCTTCCCATAGGAAATCATTGGATTGGATTGGCTTGGACTTCCAAGGAGGCAGATCAGAGGTAGAGGCTGTAATGTAAACCCAAACAGTATTTACAGCAAAAAGCCTGAAGGGAAGGATTCTACTCCCCAAAACAATTATAATAACCTGTAGTTGTTCTGGTGACTTTAGGTCAACCATCTACATGATCCCATCAGTTTTAATGTGTTTGCCCTGTGCTGCGAATTGTCACAAACTAGAATGAAACTCAAGCTCTATATGTTGCAAATCACCACAAATTTCTAAACATAAAATAACTCATAGTAAGATTAGGCAATTAGTACAAATATACAAATGCCTTGTCAGGAGGCGGCTGTGAGATCATGGGGAATATGAGGAACTAAAAAAACACCATAATATCGCACATAATATATACCTTGCAATAAGTAAAAGTCTCTAACTCTTATTATTATTATCATTATTGCCAATTATATAGCGCCAACAGATTCCGTAGCGCTTTACAATATTATGAGAGAGGGGATGTAACTATAAATAGGACAATTACAAGAAAACTTACTGGAACGATAGGTTGAAGAGGACCCTGCTCAAACGAGCTTACAGTCTATAGGCGGTGGGGTATAAGACACGTTAGGACAGGAAATATCAAATAGGGTGGGAGTGAAGCAGAGCTGGAGGAGAGAGTAGAGCGCTGCCTAATAGGAGAGAGCAGGAGACAGGTATGTAAGGTGGAGGTTACTCTGGGAGGCCATAAGCTTTTTTTAAGGCTCTTCTTAAATGATTGAATACTAGGGGAGAGTCTGATGGCGGTAGGCAGGCTATTCCATAGGAAAGGAGCCCCCTGCGAGAGGTCCTGCAAGTACGGGTGCGAGCAGCGGTCAGGAGGTGGTCACGGGCAGAGCGGAGGCAACGAGGAGGGGCATACCTATGTATCATTGAGGAGATATAAGAGGGGCTAGAATTGTTCAGTGCTTTAAATGTATGGGTTAGCACTTTGAATTGACTCCTATAGGATACAGGGAGCCAATGTAAGGACTGGCAGAGGGGTGATGTGTGAGGGGACCGACTAGAGAGGAAAATCAGTCTAGCTACAGCATTCATTACAGACTGTAGCGGGGCAATACGGCTTTTGGGGAGACCAATCAGGAGAGGGTAACAGTAATCCATGTGGGAAAATACTAGAGCATGGACAAGCTCTTTGGTCGCATCTTGCGTAAGAAAGGTGTGGATGCGGGCTATGTTTTTGAGTTGGAACCTACAGGATTTGGCAACAAACTGGATGTGAGGCTCAAAGGTGAGACCAGAGTCAAGTATGACGCCAAGACAGCATGCTTGCAAGGATGGACTTATGTGGATATCACTGACTTGAAGGGAGAGCAAGAGAGGAGGATCAGTATTAGGAAGAGGAAAGACAAGGAGTTCAGTTTTAGAGAGATTGAGTTTCAGAAAGCGTGAGGAGTCAGAGGTGGAAGAAAGGCAAGCAGTGACACGTTGCAGGACGGCAGGGGAGAGGTCCGTGGAGGAGAGGTATATCTGAGTGTCATCAGCGTACAGGTGGTAATTGAAAAGAGGCAATAAGCTTGCCAAGAGAGGCAGTATAAAGAGAAAATAGAAGGGGACCAAGGACAGAGCCTTGGGGAACTCCAACAGAGACAGGACGAGGGGAGGAGGTATTCTTGGGAAAGGGGACACTGAATGAGCGTTGGGAGAGATAGGAAGAAAACCAAGAGAGGACAGAGTGACAGAGACCGAGCGATTGAAGAGTTTGAAGGAGGAAAGCATGATCAACGGTGTCAAAGGCCGCAGAGAGGTCAAGGAGAATTAATATGGAGTAGTGACCTTTGGATTTAGCTACGATTAGGTCATTAGTGACTTTGATGAGAGCAGTCTCAGTAGAGTGGAGAGGGCGGAAGCCAGAATGAAGAGGGTCAAGGAGAGAGTTGGAATTGAGGAAGCGAGACACACGGGTAAATACAAGTCTTTCCAAAAGCTTTGATGAGAAAGGGAGCAGGGATATTGGACGATAGTTAGAGGGGAAGGATGGGTCAAGAGATGTTTTTTTCAGGATAGGTACTACAGTGGTATGTTTAAGGTCAGCAGGAACAGTGCCAGAAGAGAGAGATCAGTTAAAGATGTGTGTTAGGGTAGGCACAAGACAAGGGGAGAGAGATCTGGTGAGGTGAGATTGGACAGGATCGAGCGGGCAAGTGGTGGGGCGAGAGGAATGGAGAAGCGCAGCCACCTCTTGTTCAGTAGCCGGGGAGAAAGTCTGAAGGGTAGGGAAGGCATGATTTATGTATGGTTGAGAAAGAGAACGGCAAGGAGGGGAGAATTGTTTCCTTAGCTGTTCAATCTTGTTGGTAAAGTAGCATGCAAAGCCACCAGCTGTAAGGTTAGTTTGAGGGGTGGCCGCAGCAGGGCGCAGAAGTGAGTTAAAGGTGTCAAAGAGATGTCTGGGATTGCGGGAGCATGAACTAATGAGAGAGGAAAAGTATGACTGTTGAGTGCAATCACCGCAGTCTGCAGCTCCTGCTCCAAAAAAATTATATTCCTGATCTTTTGTGTGAGTGAAGTTTATTCATATATTATTATTATTTGATATATGATATGACTTAGCAAAATATCAACACAAGGAATACCCCTACTAACAATTTCTTTTGTATACAGACAGCATCTGAGGTTCTGATTCCTTCACGAGAAGCGCAGTTCTGGAATCCATCATTTAATTTTCACAAATTACCAACTGAGAATCGATTGAACAAAGTCAGGGCTTGCAAACGGTTTCCAACAAACTGCAGTACACAAGGCCAACGTAATGGTATTGAATAGGATACTCACCATAATAAAGATTGCGGAACATTTGTCTTTGCAAACACAATCGCTCCCTGCTTCTTCAATACTTTAACAACAACACTGTCCTCTTCCTCCAGTTTATCAATGTATTGTGCAAGGCCACACGTGGAGGGGTGTCCCTGTAGATCCACAAACAGTCTATTAATAGAAATGCTCAATTAGTAATAACTTTGCAAACATTTACAATTGCAGAGTTTTTACTTTGTTTTTCCTGATTGTGAGATAAGTCACTGATTCACTTCGGAGTAGTGGGGCTGAACGCACAGCTGCTTTATGTTTCAACATTTTGGGCTTTACAGCTACGCAGAGAGCAATTTGCCATGAGCAAGAAGACACTGAACCTAATTCTTTATGCTAAAGTGATTTTAGTGACTATAATGTCCCTTTAATCTCCAGCCTAAAGAGTCAGAACCATAGTAGCAATGCCAATGAAACAAGCGCTCAACTTTAGTAACCAACCTTCTCTGAGCAATACGTAAGAATGTTTAGTTTGGTTCTGGTCTCCCAATGAATGCTTTGTGACCATGATTGACCATAGAGACCTATTACCATTCCCATTATGGATCTTGGTTTCAGACCTTCAAAAATTAAGAAGGAGAAACCACATCTATTGCTCCAGAAATTGCCAGAGAACAAACATTATTTTGTGTCCTGCTATCACAGTATACAACACGATCAATATAATCTTATGTATGGACCCAGTCCACCAAGACTTCCTCTGATAACCAGCGAGCTCTAATGGAAATTTAAACCATGTTTATCATTCTGATGTACCATTCTCCCATTTAATAACTAGTCATTGATAACTATACCTTGTAACCAATGTGTTCCTTTATAGAGATGGGAACTCCATACAATGGACCCTTGTTTTCTTGCTCTTTCAGGTCTTGAAGCTGAGCTTCACAATCAGTAAGAAAGTCCATAACACAATTCAGATCTTGATCCAGCTCCAGAGCCTGTGGAAGGGCAGGAGATAGTAAATTGTTTTTATAGACCTTATTTCCTTAAACAGAAGAGTACAGGAAACGTGTTCCTTCATATAGGAGAATACCGGGAGCTTCAGTTTATTGAATAACCCTGAAAGTGTTTGGTTCTAATAAGTGGGACATACATGTAAAAGGTAGAGTCTCCAGTCAGTTGGTGATTGCCCATTTGTAGTACTTTAGGCCAATATGGCATCCACTATAAACACGCCCTGAAATGAATTTTCTTATTCTTGTGGGTGAACTTGGGAGAGAGACCAATGGGCCCAAGCCTTTAACGGTGTACGGGCCCCCAAAATTTCTTATGGCAGCCCTGTGTGTGTGCTCATATGTCAGTGTGTGTGTATATGTGCATGTGGCAGTGCATACATCCCAGTATTCAAACTTCAACACGACACAAATATACCCCAGCATTCAACTGCCAACAATACGCATATATACCCATGCATTTAAACACACTGCTGCATTCAAATACAACTACTTTAAACACACTGCTGCATTCACGCACACGCACACACACACACACAAACACATCCCTACATTCACACACACACACAAACACATCCCTGCATTCACGCACACACACACACACAAACACATCCCTACATTCACGCACACACACACACACACACACACACAAACACATCCCTACATTCACGCACACACACACACACACACACTCCCTACATTCACGCACACACACACACACACACACACACACAAACACATCCCTACATTCACGCACACACATACACACACACACATCCCTGCATTCACCTTTTCAATGTAGGAATACAGGACACTCTCCAGAGACAAAGAGCCGTCTCTCAGCTTGACGATGAGTTCCGGTAATGACAGATTCAGGATCTTCCTGGAGTCCACTCCTGGATTCTGGAAAAGGACCGAGCACATGAATCGGAGAAACGAGAGAAACATAAAATACACAAAAATACATCCAGCCTCTGGGCATTCAAACACTAAATGAAAATAAGTACATTTTTAATAATAATCGCAATATGAGAAAATTGTCAGAAAGCTACTTAATTATAGCCCAAATTACCCACTAATAGTACACTAGGAGTACACAAGATATGGCATTTTCCTATTTACTGATAGAAAATATGCTGAATCACTAACCACTCATGTACCTTTAAAAAACAATGAACTTTTTGTTTTTATCTTCGTGTATCCATCTGCTGATCAGGAACTGACTACAGAGAGCATCAGAATAAATGTTACTGGGTGAAGGTTCTATCAGTTTTTCCAGAATCTAACAGTTTTATTTTTTATGCTTACTAACAACTGACTTCAATGAAAGTCGCATAACCTTTTAACAGTTCTGGTACAACGCAATAGTTAAAGGGATCCTATTGTGCCTGGAAAACAAACAAACCTGAAAACAAACCTGTTTTCTTGGCACTATAGGAATCCCTTTAACTATTGCGTTGTACCAGAACTGTTAAAAGGTTATGTGAGTTTCATTGAAGTCAGTTGAAGTCTCCTGGAGTGGCCCCCTCCCTCGAGCTCCCCCTCCCACAGGGCTGACGGGGGTAAAACCCCTTCAGACACTTACCTGAATCCAGCGTCGATGTCCCTCTGCGCTGAGTCATGCTCCGCCCACCTCCTCCCCCGCCGAAATCTGTCGGTAGGGTAGACCTAATGCGCATGCGTGGCAATGGCCGCACGCGCATTAGACCTCTACATAGGAAAGCAGTATTCAATTCTTTCCTATTGGAAAAATCTGATGCTGGAGGTCCGTGAGGACCTCCAGCATCAGATAACGGTTTTAACGTCGGTTTGGATTCCGGATGCTCTCCCAGTGGCTGTCTGTTAGACAGCCACAGAGGGCAGACTTAGAGCTGCAATGAAAACATTGCAGTTTCTCTGGAACTGCAATGTTTTACATTGCAGCACTAAGTGCAAAAGGGACACAGCACCCATACTATTTCAATTAGCTGAAGTGGTCTGGGTGCCTACAGTGTCCCTTTAATTGAATGTTAGCCCTGGGTGTTTATTTATTTATGTTTTTTACCTCCCGAGAATACAGTGTAACTATTTTTAACCCTCTGGCACCATGCATGTAGACCCAGTGACGGCGTTTGCACTATGAAATAAATGCCAAGCATGCAGGAGTGTATCATGGAGCGATAACAGTGCTGAGTAAGGATGTGTTCACTGCAGTAGAAATATATAGAGAGTATTATGGGAGGAAGAGCTAAAGGGACATTCCTGCACTGCTGTAGTGGGTATAGTGCCTGAAGTACTATGACTCTCTTACCTGTGGTCCAGATGCTGCTAAGCAGATTGGAATTTTGCTTAAATAATTTGACTTCTTACGAAGGAGCAAAATGTAGTGGTTATGGTGCTTGTACTGTCCCTTTAAGGAAATCTTTAGCATTTCATTTCTGGGTCACATTACTTTCTTTGTTACTGTGGGGAAGCACTGACAGCTACAATAAGAATAGTTTGCAGCTCTGTTGATATAAAATGGACACTCTAAGCACCACCGCTAGTTCATCTTACTGTAGTGGTTTTGTTACATGGATGCATTCTCAGACTCTGAAAATCATCATCATTTCTGAAAAATGCCCGGCACAGAGACAGCACACAATTATAAGGTTCAAAGTAAATTTAAAGTGAATTTCACATTTAAGGCAGTAATAACAAAATATGAAAACTGAATTATCTTGGGGATGTTTTCAAGTTTGGCTTTGTTAGCCTAAATCTTGAAATTCCTGCAAAATATTAAATCCCCTACAATTGTCACGTTAGTGAATAATCCGGTTTCAGTTGCTCATTAAAAAGCACCCTGCTTTTTAATCCTGGGGGACCCTGCAGCCCCAGGGGTGGCCGTGTGTGTTGGGCTGGAAAGGGTTGAGGAAAATGTATTTTTTTTTAAGCGCTTAACAAAACACAATCACAAAAAAAAATCTATGATATAATGTTACAAAAAAAGCAACTTGCACAAAGGTGAGAAAGGTATTCATAACATTGCCTTCTTTATAACCGGTTTTATCTCGATGGCCCGGCCCCTTTGCTGTTCTCATATATAATAATTGTTGATCATTTCAATAAGTTCTCCCTGTTGAGCAATTCAATGAAGTTGCTGTCATATTCTTTTAAATTATACGGTATTGCTAGGCTGAATGCACTTTTGTTCTTCGATGTTGAGATTGCAAAGTTGTTTTCCTTATCTATTTATAATCTATCTGCCCTGGCATCTCGCCCCTAACCACATGGGGGCACCTCTCACTTCCTCACACTCTGACTATAGATGTGTCGTGCCTATCCTACGCAATTTACAAGTATAGGTCAGGAAAAAATAGACAGAAAGGACATATTACCTGACTTTGGGGTTACCTGCCGGGTTTAAAGTAAAAATTAGAGAAAGCATAAAATGTAAAACAAGCCAAGATCAGGATACCAGGAATACGGAAATACGATATAATTATCTAGGTCGGGAATATAGAGGTCAGAGGAGTCAGTAAAAAATATTTATTGTCATGGATATCCTATCCAGCTGCCAAGGCTCCTCATTCCCATTCTGTAGAGGCAGAAATGCCTCCAGTGCAGCTGCACCGGGACCCGCACGCTGATGGTGCCCAACGAGGGGCCAATGCACTTAGAGACACCTGATGGGCATATATCTTCAGGGGCCAGGTCGGTGCTGCAACCCTTTAATATTATGGCAGGTCACTTTTCTCCCAGCTTACTTCACGTGGGAGGGAGGAGACAGAGCGGAGGCAGTGAGGAGGGGAGAGTCAGCTGTCAGACAGACTCTTGACAGCCCCAGCCATCCTCCTGCTCAAAACATAAGAAACAGGAGGATAGCTAAAATATGACTTGCATGTGTGTGTGTCAGTATGTATGTCTGTGTGTTAGTATATGTGTGTATCTGGGTGTCAGTATATGTGTGTATCTGGGTGTCAGTATATGTGTGTATCTGAGTGTCAGTATATGTGTGTATCTGAGTGTCAGTATATGTGTGTATCTGAGTATCAGTGTGTGTGTGTCTGTGTATTAGTGTGTGTATATGTGTTTGTTTCTGTATGTGTGTGTATTCTGTGTCAGTGTAATATTATTATTACACACTACACTGGCACAGAATTGGAAATCAACTAACTAACCCAACTGGTATAAGGCAAAAAAAAAAAAACAATTCCCAAATACAAATGCAAAAATATATAACTATAAATCTGTTAAATTCAGGAAAAAAAAATCTCAATATGGAATGAATGGTTGAAAAAAAAGTAAAATAAATACCAACAAAAATTAAGTATAGGTATCTAATAGATCTAAATGTTCCATAAAATAAAGCTCTCCCACACCCAGACAACCCATATGAAACGATTGCCACAATCCCCTCCTCCTCTCTTCCTCCCTTAATAATATGTATGGATCAAATATTTGTTTTGTTATATATATGACTGATGCATTTTTATAATATTGTATGAATAGTATGGTGTGACAACACATATGTGTGATAGTCTTTTTGTGTATATTTGTAAACAAACTTTTCCAATAAAGATTAAGATAATTAAAAAATGTAAAAAAGCTTCCAGGGAGAGCGAAGGAGGAGGATCAGTATTATGTGGAGGAAAAACAAGAGATTGAGTTTCAGAAAGCGGGGGGACATCAATCAGATTGAAGAAAGGCAATTGGTGACGCGTTGTAGGACCGCGGGGGAGAGATCAGGGGAGGAGAGATATATCTGGGTGTCGTCAGCATACAGATGATAATCCAAAGGAGTTAATGAGTTTGCCAAGAGATGTGGTATAAAGAGAGAACAGAAGGGGACCAAGAACAGATCCAAGGGGACTAAGACAGGGCAAGAGGAAGAAGTCTCGTTGCAAAAGGAGACACTGAAGAAACGTTGGGAGAGATAGGAGGAGAACCACGAGGGGACAGTGTCACAGAGACTGAGGGAGAAGGAGGACATGATCAACAGTGTCAAAAGTGGTAGAGAGGTCAAGAAGAATTAGTATGGAGCAGTGGCCTTTGGATTTAGCTGTGTAGGTTTCAGTAGAGTGGAGGCGGTGGAAGCCAGACTGAAGAGGATCGAGGAGGGAGTTTAAATTTAGGAAGCGAGTCATACGAGTAAAGACACTAACACACACCATGTCCACTTTAAACACACTGCATCCAATATACACACACACTGCAGACCCTGTATCCACTCTACACAAACTGCATCCTTGTAAGCAGACTTGGAGGCAGGCCCTGTGGGTGGATTTGCAGGTGGGCCAATATGTAGAAATACCAGTGCAGAATATATTGTTAAACTCACCTTATTCAGAGCCCCAAATATCTCTAAGCTTGAAAATCGCAGTGTCAAACTTTGGGGTGCTACTTCCTCAAACAGCTGAGCTTAAAGCTTTAAATTACTAAATAATACATGCATACATTTACTAGTAAATTGTTCTGCACTACATACACAGCAGTAGGTTGGCCTGTGCCACAGTATGTGTCACTGGCAACATAAAAAAGCAGGCCCTAATCAGGGCCGTTTTTAATATTGATTGGACCCTGGGCAAGCATCTGTTTGGGCCCCCTGGGCATGCAATCACTCCCTCCACCCCAACCTAGAGGCGAAACTAATGAAGAGAGTGCCTTGGTGCAACAACAAAAAAATTCAGGCCTGCCCTGTAGCACAAGATTAAAGAAAAGATAGATCCCCATCTGTCATACAACTCCTGCGATGCTATGCCAGCTGGGGATCTACCATCCTTGCAGGGTTGTATTTTTGAGCAGTGTTTGTGCAAATGAATGTCAGCATGTTATTGTATAGAGTCTATGTGTGCATGTAGGAGTGTATTTGTATGTACTGTTACCATTGGAATGCAGTGGTGTACTTGTGTGTAGTGTTTGCATTTTAATGCAGGGATGTGTGATTGTTTGTAGTGTTGGCTTTTAAATGCAGGTGTACTTTTGTGTGTAGAGTTGGTGTTTGTATATAATTTTAGCGTTTTAATACAGGAATGTGTTTGCATGTAATGTTTGTATTTGCATGCAGGGGGGTGTTTGGATGTAGTGTTGTGTACATTTGTGTGTAGTATTAGTGTTTCAGCAAACTGGTGTGTTTGTAATGTTTGTGTTTGCAGGGGTCTGTTTGCATGTTGTGTGATTTCTATAACACATATACACATACACATTAACACGCAGATACACACATGCTCACACTGACACATGCTCACACCTTGACACATACTGGCACATACACACACACTCAGATACACACCCTTTGACACACAGATACAAGCACTTTGATATACACACACTGGCACATACACACACACACTGACACAGGTATATACACACACACTCAGATACACACATACATAAAGGTATAAATGCAGGGGTGTATATGTGTACAGTGCTAGAGATGGAATGTAGGAGTGTATTTGTGTTGGCATTAAAATGCTGGGATGTATGCATTACCACACACTCAGATGCACACTTACACACACACCGAAACACACACACACACACAGGTGCACATACAGGTGTATGAGGTATACATACACACAGAAACACTGACACACAGACAAACACAGCCAGATACACACAAGGACATAAACACAGCCAGATACACACATATATATATATGTGTACATTTACATATTTTAATCTCTGCCTTCTAGCAGCTCTTGGACAGCAACTCCCAGCAACCTTGGCCAATATAATGTCTCAACTCTGTTCTTACATACCCTGGTCCAGAATTTGGCAAATGTGACATTTGAAAATGGTGTACAGCCTTTGATAACACTTGATGCAATATGTTAAAATAAATACTTTTTAAATTTATATTTAATAGGGAACTGTCAGGTTCTTCTAGGATTTTTAACATGTACTTATTCCCTGTGTGTTACATTACAAACACCAACACACTTAAATAAAAGTGATATCAGAAATTAGCAAAACAAAAAACAAAACATATTTAGCCACCCTCCTGTCTCCTTACCTTTTGGGTACAGAAAGGTGGCTTCCCTGGGGTCCAGTGGGAGCTTGCTGGCCCAGGCTGATGGGAGTCTGCCATCAGCTTTCTCAGTCCCTCTCCCCCACAATGCTTGCATCCTCCTCCATGTGGTGTGTGCCTCCTCCCCAGCGGCACTGAGGAGGAAGCAATCTGACCTCACTGCCTCACTGTGTTTGTCAGGGATACAGTGGGACAGGACCCTGAACTTGGGCTCTCACACTGAACCCAGGAAACTTGGGAGGTATGCAATTAAACAAAGGAAGGCAGTAATTTCACATCAACCGTAATCCTTTATACACCTGAATGGTGCATTGTTTGTCAATCTAGATTCATTCTTTAACTGAAATATAATACACTAAAGAATCATATTACACTTGTGTTAAATAAATTGGTTCTTTGATTGTGTTTTAATATTTTGGTGCATAAAATAATAAAATAATTGTTAGAATGTATTTTTTTTTTTTTTTTTATAATTCTTTATTTTTCTGTGCAAGTGATTGACAAACATGTTTAAAGTGCCACAACAGCACACATAGGCTTTTTATCAAAGACAATATCATGGCACACATAAACTGCACATTTTCTTTTTTTATATTAAACATGGCGAGCTAGAATACGTCATGAGGTACGGAGACATAAATGATAGATACATTATGCTTAGCTTACTGACAGTATATTGAGTAGTTATAACTTTAAGAAGTATCAGATTATACAGACTGAAACCAGGAATTTATATGAGATGAGTATTTGTACGATTGGAAAAACATCTGTGATTAAGAAAACACGTTTAGTTACTAGAAGAGATATCAGGAGAGCAGAGAGTGAGTGAGAAAAATTGACAGATAGGGCTGCAGTTAGGATCAAGAGTTAGTGGTACCCTCTCCGTTCGGAAAGTATAGTCCGATCAGCCCACGCCTGTAAGGGCTAAGCTGGGTCTTGACAGGAGCTTCTGGGGATTCGTGCTTCTCGCAATGCTGCATCATGCGGCTCCGCAGTAACCCCGGGTGTCATCAGGGGTCTGTGCCCAATGTGCATCGGCTCCCCTCGCTTCAGCTAGGATACGGTCCGCGGATTTAGTACCATGATGTTCCGCCCCAGTGCATGAGCGTTGTGAGGCTTCAGTAACTGGCTTAATTTCCTGCCGGTGCAGACTCTGAATGCAGGCTGGGATCTGAAGCCGTGTCTGAGGCGTGGGCAGTATAGGTTGCTTCCTCGGGTCTTCCCGGTCCTTCCAAAATCCCTGGCACATGGCGTCGAATGATGCAAAGAATTCTTCTTCCCATAGCCGGGTAGTGCCATCAGCCATTTTGGATATGCCGAATGTGGGTTGCTTTCGCCCAAGAAACTCAGCAGCGATGTAGATGAGTACTCTCTTGATGGATCGGGCGGGATAACCTCCACCAGCCTGGGGGAGGGTGGGGGAAACAGGGCTCTGAGGATCCTTAGAGATTTAAGCCCAGGCAGCTTCGGACTGAGAGAATGGCCGCTTCTCCCACCCAGAAATCGCCAGGCCACAACAAGCTGAGGGCCGCATCCACCTGTCAGCAGAATAACGGGATCTGGAGCTCGCTTTACAGGTGCCCAGGTAGTGCCAGACGTGGGCACCAACATGGAAAGGGTAGTTTATAGGGTTTTTTCACCCCCAAAATCAAGCTTATTTAGAAATTAGTCAGGAGCTCAAGTTACCCACGACCCTCCAGTATGGCGTCCAAGCCCCGCCCCCGTTAGAATGTATTTTTAAACAGTGGTCATTAGGGCAGTGTATGGTGCACACAGTAATTTGCTCATCTTATCGAGAGAGTGTGTATATAAAGAGTCACGCTCACAGAGATAAATTTCTATTTACATATCTGATTTCCCATAATTAATACTGTGCAGATCTGAAATGCATGAAATCAAATAAAAAAAAAGAATTAAAAAAAAAACTGATCTCAGTATTAATATGTCACGTCCCCTATTTATAGTTACACACTATCCTTAACGTAAATACAGCAAACTGAAAATAATTATAAAGGGAAGTTAGAAAACAACGTCATAGAAATTGTATTTTTTTATTATTGAAGAGGTTTTGGAAATAACCAGTAACGGCACAGTATGAATTTGGAGGGGAAGAAATTTGAAATATATTTTACAGGAACATCTGTTAATGTATAGAAAATAAATGTCTTCCAGCAGAGGGGGTAGATATTTATACAGCAGAAGAGACATTGCTGTCTTGTATAAGATACAAACTCAGAGATAAATAATAAAGTCTGTTCTGTTAGGTGGGGATGGGCCGATGTTCCCTGTATTTTCATTGCCTTTGGGGTTTATTCACTAAACTAAGAATTGTGGTGAATTATCCAGGAAATAGCAAAGTTTAGGTAAAAATAGCTGAGCTGGAAAAATACCCGATTTGTGGAATTTCTCGATCCAATTAGTTTGGCTGATAATGTTACATTTGTTTCTCGATTCTTCGCGACTCCTCGTTTATTATTGAATAAACCCATGTGTTTCTGATTTATATTTTCCATTGTTACAATAATTATTTTACCTGTTTCTTGAACTTGGTAACTTTTTCTTGCATCAGTTGCACATTTTTCTCTCTCCTTTTTCTCTCCTTTTCCACTTTTTTGAGAAAGTTCCTCTTCTTTCTCCATTTCAGACCACAAACAATGGCCACCAAGAGGCATCCCAAGGAGGTGACAATCTTCCAGTTTATTTCATATTCCAAAAGACTTTGTATCCACTCGTGGTGCTGCATTCTCAGATCGTCCTTTTAGCTCCACTGCAGCGGTTTGGTTTCTGTGTACATTGTTTGTACAGAGTAAGCCTTTTGAAATGTAATTTGATATTTTAAGATAAGGGGCGGACACTACTAGGACATTATATTTAACCCTTTATCACTGGGGTGGCTAAATGGTAGATTGTGATCGAGCAGTTGATGTCAGTCAGCTAAGTAGGAGGTGTTGGCACATAAACCGAAATTATGAATGTCCCAGCACTATCAGTTTTTTGCTGGAGCTGATAGGACACTAAAGTCGGACTCTCCAACTAAACCCAGGACATTTAGGAGGTTTGCAATTAAACGAACGAAAGCTGTAACATCAACATCCCTCTTATTCCTTTTAACACCTGAATGATGTATTGTTTGTCGATTTAGGTTAATACTTTTAAGGAACACACAACTGCCCATATTGGAAACAAATAGAAATCATTGTTTAGTAGATACACCATGCATGTATTCATTAGGAGTTTATCTTACAACAGTTTCTTATGAACTGCAGCTTTTGCAAGCTCTCCCCTTTTTCTCTGGAATAGACTTTTAGTCTCTTCTCTGGGAGAAGAGCCAATCAGAGTCCTCTGAAGGCCTTCTCCGTATACCCGAATTGTTAAAGGGGAACTCTCACTTCTTTGTATTTTACGCAATTGAATAAAACATTGAAAATCACCTTGAACTTGTTTTTACTTTTATTTTTGTTTTGTTTTTTATGAGTGCTCCATCTTTATTTAAATTGATGTTAAATTTTTTGAAAATTACATCATGATCCAGTTCACACAAGGCACAGCCAGGGCACACAATGCAAATGAGGGGAGAGAGAAATATTATTGCATTTCTCATCTTCTCTCTTATGCTCTCTCTGTACTGACTGCCAGGTGCAAAGGAGCGGAGCTTATAACAATGATTGACAGGTACATTAGATGGAGGTGGCTCTCTCTATACTGACTGCCAGGTGTAAAGGGCGGAGCTTATAACAATGATTGACAGGTACATTAGATGGAGTTGGCTCTCTCTGTACTGACTGCCAGGTGCAAAGGAGCGGAGCTTATAACAATGATTGACAGGTACATTAGATGGAGGTGGCTCTCTCTATACTGACTGCCAGGTGCAAAGGGCGGAGCTTATAGCAATGATTGACAGGTACATTAGATGGAGGTGGCTCTCTCTATACTGACTGCCAGGTGTAAAGGGCGGAGCTTATAACAATGATTGACAGGGAGCTAAGATGGAGGTGGCTCTCTCTATACTGACTGCCAGGTGTAAAGGGCGGAGCTTATAACAATGATTGACAGGTACATTAGATGGAGATTGCTCTCTCTATACTGACTGCCAGGTGCAAAGGAGCGGAGCTTATAACAATGATTGACAGGGAGCTAAGATGGAGGTGGCTCTCTCTATACTGACTGCCAGGTGTAAAGGGCGCAGCTTATAACAATGATTGACAGGGAGCTAAGATGGAGGTGGCTCTCTCTATACTGACTGCCAGGTGTAAAGGGTGGAGCTTATAACAATGATTGACAGGGAGCTAACATGGAGGTGGCTCTCTCTATACTGACTGCCAGGTGTAAAGGGCGGAGCTTATAACAATGATTGACAGGGAGCTAAGATGGAGGTGGCTCTCTCTATACCGACTGCCAGGTGTAAAGGGCGGAGCTTATAACAATGATTGACAGGGAGCTAAGATGGAGGTGGCTCTCTCTATACTGACTGCCAGGTGTAAAGGGCGGAGCTTATAACAATGATTGACAGGGAGCTAAGATGGAGGCGGCTCTCTCTATACTGACTGCCAGGTGCAAAGGGCGGAGCTTATAACAATGATTGACAGGGAGCTAAGATGGAGGTGGCTCTCTCTATACTGACTGCCAGGTGTAAAGGGCGGAGCTTATAACAATGATTGACAGGGAGCTAAGATGGAGGCGGCTCTCTCTATACTGACTGCCAGGTGTAAAGGGCGGAGCTTATAACAATGATTGACAGAGAGCTAAGATGGAGGCGGCTCTCTATACTGACTGCCAGTTGTAAAGGGCGGAGCTTATAACAATGATTGACAGGGAGCTAAGATGGAGGCGGCTCTCTCTATACTGACTGCCAGGTGTAAAGGGCGGAGCTTATAGCAATGATTGACAGGGAGCTAAGATGGAGGTGGCTCTCTCTATACTGACTGCCAGGTGTAAAGGGCGGAGCTTATAACAATGATTGACAGGGAGCTAAGATGGAGGTGGCTCTCTCTATACTGACTGCCAGGTGTAAAGGGCGAAGCTTATAACAAGGATTGACAGGTACATTAGATGGAGATTGCTCTCTCTATACTGACTGCCAGGTGCAAAGGGCGGAGCTTATAGCAATGATTGACAGGTACATTAGATGGAGGTGGCTCTCTCTATACTGACTGCCAGGTGTAAAGGGCGGAGCTTATAACAATGATTGACAGGGAGCTAAGATGGAGGTGGCTCTCTCTATACTGACTGCCGGGTGTAAAGGGCGGAGCTTATAACAATGATTGACAGGTACATTAGATGGAGGTGGCTCTCTCTATACTGACTGCCAGGTGCAAAGGGCAGAGCTTATAACAATGATTGACAGGTACATTAGATGGAGATGCATAGTTGGAATATAAAGAGTTGTGGATTACTACAACTATTCATTTATTTATTTATTTATTATTATTTTTATTTAACTTTATTTGCATCTAGCAATTTCCTGAGCTGGACCAAATTTGGTCCATAATAAATAACCCCATGAGTCAGTAATATTATTTCAGCCACATACTCACTTATTTACCTGCTCAGATAATATTTTCTAGTTTACAAAAAAATATATATTCTCTTAAATTTAAAAACAAATATCCTGTAGTTCCTTGAAAAATCATATAGTCATTTAATTTATGAATTTAGTAATCTTGCTTATAAAATGTTATAGGTGTGTCATTCGTGTGACTCCCAGATAACCGGTAGGGTTTTAATTGACGTTAAAGGGTGTATTGACTAAAAGCCAAATTGTAGTGAATTGAAAACATAAATATAACATGGAAGCAAAAATAAATAAATAGTGTGTGTTTTTTTTTTTTTTTTTAATTCACTATATTTAGAAGATTATAATGTAAAAGCGACTTGTTCGGAAATGGATGTGAATTCAAGGTGAATTTCACAATTTAGTCCAAATAACCAAATTACAAAAAAAACCATCCAAGTCATCTATGTTTTCAGTTTAATTGAATTTGTTATATTTATTTTGAATTTTAAATTCGCCTTTATAACAATTAACATGATGCAAGATAACACTGTGGTTTATTTTCTGCCAAAATAAAAGTTATTGTGAAATAGTTGTGCTCTTGTGCCTGACACCCCAAACTTGGAGGCACCTCTGCCACTCACTGAATAAAGTACCATTAACGGCATGATTTCAATTAAATCATGTCACCCAAAATCCCAAATGTTTTTTTGGTAAACCTTTCTAGCTAAAGGACATGCACAGTGTACAGAGCTTCTTTGCAAAGATTCTTTGCTTTCTGACATTTTTATATGGCTTTCAGCTGCAGTTTTTATGTTTCTCGTTATTATATGAGAATATACCATTTTATAGACATTTCAAACAATGAGAACTTTGTACCAAAAGGTTTGTGTTATCGGTATTTAATCATTAACCAAAGATCTGAGAAAACCAGACTCATGAAAGCTGCAAAATCCCAAGAGCCCTCTGACTTTAACTGGGGAAGAACTTTAGGGTGATAGACAGATATTCTTCCTTAGGATGTAGGCCAGGGATCGACAACCTTCAGCACTCACAATGTTGTGCACTGCATCTCACCTGATGCTTTGCAAGCGTTGGAGATGTAGTTGGCAACATTTGGAGTGCCTGCTCTAATCTAACAACCATTTTCAGAACCCTCTATTTCCACCAAGTGTTGACTCTAGTCAAAGGCCTAGTCAACATTGCCTAATTTAGGGGTAATCCAGTCATGGTGGGAAACCTGAGAGACCACAGATCTGCCACTGTCAGAACATTTTCCACTGTTCACAGATCCCTCATTTTGTGAGACAACATCTGCAGGTATGCGGAAACGAGATACATTTCCTACGAGTACCCTTGTACATAACTGACAAAATACATTGGTCGTATCTCATCCTCTATAACCAGTCGACTCTTTCTTTCCATAAACTCACTCAACTTTATATCTCCCAATGGGGGGATCCGATGAAAATAACAGAATGCACTTTGAACAAATTGGGGGCTTTTAAAGTCATTTCTCACTGGTATCTTCACCCAGTGTGACTTTACCACATGTTCTCTTCTGTTTCCTCAGGATTCCGCATCAGTTAGTGGATAATTAAAGTGGATCATCTATTCACAAGTGGTGGATATGCCTTCACGTGCAGGCTTTATGGAGAACAGGTTTTCAAATGCTATGTACATGCATCCACACAGATATTAAGCCTGACTGCTCGATTGTGATTACCAAACATTCAGACTTGCCAAAAAAAGCAAAGAAACTGATCGACTTTCCACATTTTTTTCAGAATTATATCAACAAGATTTGGTACATTTTTTATATGGAGAAAATGACTGCTGAGCTGCATGACACATCTTCCCTCATTCAAAAAAGAATTGGTACCCCTGGTTGGATTGTTATGCTGACTAGTCTGGATAAGAGAGGTGCTTTTCTTATGAACCTAGAAGAGGTGGTATAAACTTAACTTGGCGTAGAGTTGACTTAGAGTTGGGTTCTTAGGGAGCACATCTTCTTTCCTATTTCTTTGCATAAACAGCTTTACCCCTTCTAGCTACTCTCTTGTCTCCCTAACCATGATTATTGTACCCATGCACCCACCTTTGATTTCCAAGTTCCACAGATTTTCTCTTTATTACTGAAACAAACAATGTGTGTATATATAAATTAGATGGTGCAAAATGCAAATGATGGGCATATTAAAAAATTATAACAGTTGCAGCAACCAACTAAAAATCCTGGTGGTAAGATTCAAAACAAGTTCAGTAATAAAATTGGTGCGCAAAACATAAAAATAATAAAATATTCAAATATCTTCCATGCAATCTCTTTATATAAAAAAAGTAACATAAAATGATCACAATTTAGTTAATAGGTGCCCAATCAAAGTGTGATGTTTATGTATTTAACACTAAATTATAACCAGTGGTACTGTGATTGAAAATCTAAACCAGGGGTAGTCAGCCTGGTCCCTACTACCCACTAGTGGGAGGTTTGGGATTTCAGGTGGGCAGTGATGGGTTCTGTAGAAAATGCCCAGTGGGCCTCATTGACCGTGGACCATGGCTGGCAGGGGAGATCCTTTCATCTCCCCTGCTGGCCCATGAAGAGGCAGCCTTGCTGTAAGCCTTCTCGATCTGGTGAGGAGGTCAAAGATATCCCTCACCAGCCGGTGGCAATTAGTTCCAGCAGAGGGAGGGAAGGGCCTGGGAGGCTCTGTGTTCCTCCCGCGAGCAAGCTGGTTGGAGCGTTGTAACACATCACCATGGCAGTGCTGTGCTCGCAGGAGGACAGGAGAGTCAGCCTGCAGCCAGAGGAGCTGCAGGCTAAAGTGAACATGCCACCACTGGATCGCCAGGGCTTGCAGCATTATGCCCCCCTCCCTGGTAAAAGGTAAGAAGAAGGGAGGGGAAGATATTAAGATAGATTTTCACATCTCACCCACCTACACACATCATAGACCCTATGCACCTTTCACACACACACACATAGACCCACAGAATGCCCACTAACACACACAGACTGCCCCCTCACACACACACTCCCCATTCATACACATATTGCCCACTCACACACACTAGACCCCTAACACACAACACACCCCTCACACACACATTGGGAGGGGGGAGACATTAAGGTAGATTTTCACATCTCACCCACCTACACCGCAGTCCCTCTGTGTGGCTCTTTCTCCCCTTAGGCCGTTTTGTGTGTCCCTCCCCTCCAGATCCCTTTGTGTGTCTTTCCTCCCAAGCCATGTAGACATAGATATGCAGGCAAAAATACATACATACTTACCCAACCATTAAGGCACACATGCATAATTTTTCAGGCACACAATCAAACAAAGTCATACAGGTACACTGTCATACAAACACAGACATAATCATTCAGAGACAGACACACAGAGACATACATGCACACAGACATACATACATACAGGCACACAGAGACATACATACATGCACACAAACACAGTCACAATTACATATGTACTGTACAGACAGTTCCCTGAGGTGCATTGTCTCCGGCTCTGTGGAGTCCCGTTCTAAAGCCCAATCCCATCACTGGGCACCAGCCGCGCTGTGTGGTACACCTGTCATTCAGCGGACACACAACTCTTTCTGCCCCACAAGACCTCTCAAGAACGTATGAAAGCATATGTCATTTATTTCTTTTCTTTCTTCTTCTTCTTCTTACTATATTTCCTGGGCTGCTCGCCGGGGAAGCACTAGGGGGGAGGAGGGTAAAACTTAGAGACCAGCGATTGTTAAAAGTGAACATTTACAACTAGAACAGTTAAGACTGAAGCAATTAAAGTACATTTAGTATGTCAAGCTACATACAATGCCATTATATTACTGTTTGCTAGATAGGAGCAGGAATCAAGCAACGTTCACCCACTGTTTATATTTCCTCTTACAAAATTAAAAATGTGAAGTATATTCATATGCCACGTTATGTTTCAACTGTTCGTTACATTACTGCTTGTGACTGCTATTGTGGCTGAACAAGCCTATAGTTATACCAGGCACAACAAAAATTAAAAATTAAAAAAAAAAAACAGCTGCCACTACCAACCGTGGCTTAGGGGGATAGCGAGAAGCCAACTTACAAGGGTGAAACGAAATTGCTCTAAGACTCAAGATTTCATGGTCCAGGCTGAACATATTAAACAAAAATTAATCCAACGGGGGTAAAATAAAAACAATATTGAGAAAGAGATAAGGATTATCAATAATTGTAAAAGGGAAGAACGTTTGATGGACATCAATAAATCTAAGAAAAGTGTCCTTTTCAATTATGCTTTTAAAACAAGATTTAAAACACATCATAATGAAATAAAAATAAGTATTACAAAAACATTGGACCATACTTCAGAATGATCCGGTGACGAGACAATCATTACCTAATAGTCCTGTAATGATTTACAGAAAAAATAGAAACTTAAAAAATATGTTAGCACCAAGCTATATTAAACCAGTTGGGACAAGTTCTTCGATCAATACTATTAGGGGCTTTAAAAGTTGTACCTGTTGTACAGCATGTAAAATAGCTTTGGTAACTAGTTCGGGATCTTTTCAAAGTTCAGTTACTAAGGAAAGTTTTGTCATTAGCTCTCGTATTGGCTGCCGCACGGACTTTGTGGTATATTTACTGCAGTGTCCGTGTGGTAAGCAATACGTTGGGTGCACCAAAAGAGCACTTAAAATCTGAATCATGGAACATCTAAATAATATTAAGAAGGGTTTTACTACCCATTCGGTTCCAGTACACTGTCTGTCCTGTCCAGTTATTAATTTCAAAGGGTTTTTGTGCAAGGGAATAGAACAGGTTTTGCCCCATTGGAGGGGTGGAGATAGACTTAAAAAACTCTGCCAAAGAGAAACCTACAGGTTACAGACACTGGAGCCGAATGGGTTAAATGTGGATAGAGACTTGGTTTGTTTTCTTTAATATTATTTAGTCCATTGGGTTAGATTGTATATATTTCATGATTATTTAGGGATGGAGGAAGAGAATTTTTTTTTTTTTTTTTAAATTGACGATCACAAGGTTTTATATATGACAATTTACATTGAGAGGTACAGACACAGTTAAATGTGGTCTGTTAATAAGAGTGTTGAACACTGAGATTACATGATGGAACCAAACACTATGTTAAATGGTCTTTAATCACGATTTAAGATTTTGGTTTATATCCAATCATATACATGTATTCTCTTTCTGATTGTTATTAGAAGTAATTGATATATTCTTTATAGTGGATGAGAACACTGGTAGTACATTCATTAAGAATATATTGTAAATCAATGAACACTTTATTAAGTATTAATTATATTTTTTGGGGGGGTTAGTATTAATTATATATTTTGTCCCTATTAATTTGGTGTATGTAAGTTTTAATTAAGTTTTCTCTCCAAAGTGTAAATTATATAATGATGTCTTACTTGCTATGAGGACTTTTAAGAATTGACAACGAGAGATGCCCATTACGCATGCGCAAGTACCAACGACGGATAAAGGGAAGGTCCTTTTACCTTTGGAACACATGAGAAGATCGCATGGAACGCACACGTCACTTCCGGGTGACGGTGGAAGAATCACTTCCGGTTACGCCGCAAGACGGAGCGGGAAAGATGAATACATACAGCTGAAAGCCCGAAAACATCATCAGGAATCCGAAGTCAAGCAGGAACACACCCACCACACCACCAATGGGGGACTAGGAGAGTCCTATATATTGACACTGCGGGAGGGAGGGAGGTATAGCGGGAATTTTTTGTACTGCATATTATAATGTTTTTAAATTTGATTATGGTCCCTGAGGAAGTTCTACTTTTATAGAACGAAACGCGTAGGACCATTGGCTATTTTATAAATAAATATATTTTTATTTTATACTTTGGTTCCTGCTTTTTCCTGGTTCCTGGGTTCCTGGGTTCCTGAGTTCGGGGATCCTTACTATACCCCCCTAGAGGATTATGGGTGGCACCCTGAAGGCACTTTGATTATCTACACTTTGTGAATGCATTCAATAACGTGTCATTATACATGCCTAAAGTAGTTTTACACTATGTATTGTTCATTTCTTTCTAGGTAGAGACAGCGTTTTCCCCTATTTTGTTTTGCACGTGTGTCAGTGATTGTTTGTACGTGTCAATGTGTGTGTGACAGTGTATGCAAAGGACACTGCAAATACCAACAATACAAACACACCCCTGCAATTCAATGCCAACACTACATACAATTGCACACCTTTATTCAAACACGAGCACTATACACAAATGCAAATCTGAATTAAAACGCCAACATGACATACAAAGACGCCCCTGCATTAAAATGCCAATACTATACCCAAACACGCAGCTGCATTCAAAAGCCAGCACTACACCAAACTACACCCCTGCATTCAAACGCCAACACAACAAACATTCAAACACAGACACTGCTTGCAAATACAACCCTGCAATGATGGACATTTGAGGAGGGACCATAAAAATTCCCGCACCAGTACCCTTTCTACATTAGTTCTGCCACTGGTCCTGACAGATACTTACTTAACCTTCCTGCAGTTGGCAATATGTATCTAGTTTCATTCCGCGGGATTGGAGAGTTTAATAGCCAGCGTTAATCTATACAAAACTACCCCTAAGTATGGAAAGGCCATATATTATTTCCAGTCGTAATGAAAGCAAGTTATCTGACTAATTAGCATGTTTGTTTATTTTTATCTATGTAAATATCAAACATATAGCATATGGTTTATATAAAAGTGTACATTAGCTAGAAAACATTCGTGAAAAAAATAAAAATTGTCCCTGGGGGAAAAAAAGCTGTAAAACTTCAAAAAGACTGCGAGGTAGACAGCAAACAGTGCTAAATCCCCGCCAAATACAAAACAGAACAGTATATAAGTTATAGCATGACACCAACTGGGCTGATGAATATAGAGGAATAAAAATTG